CCAACGAGTGAAATCGGCGCCTCTCCTCTTCACCAACGCTCTCCTCCTTTGGTCCCTTCACACACTTGAACCCAGAGGGAAAGGGTGTAGCCACATGGCCTTCACTCTGCCCAAAGTTGGCAGCCAATGCCTCCAGGTACTTTCGTTGATGCACCCGCATGCACCGCTTCTCCACATCTCGTTCGATGTGGAGCCCAAGGTAGAAGCTCACGTCACCAAGGGCCTTGCACTTGAACTTGTCTTGAAGCTTCAGCATCACCTCCTTCACAAGGTCAGAAGAGGGTGAGAAAATGAGGATGTCATCCACATAAACCACCATGAAACTCCTCTGCTCCCCCTCGCCAAGCATGAACAAGGAGTGATCGGCCGTTGAGGGAGTGAAGCCGATCCCCTCCAACACTTCGCGCAGCTTCATGTACCATTGCCTAGGGGCCTGCTTCAGCCCATAGAGGGCCTTCTTCAGCTTCCACACTCTGCCACTACCATCATCAAACCCCTCTGGCTGCGCCATAAAAATCTCCTCCTCAAGAATGCCGTTAAGGAATGCCGTTACGATGTCCATTTGCTTTACTACCCATCCTTTGATGGCGGCTCCCGCGAATAGGGTTCGTAGCGTCGTCGGCTTCACCACAGGGGCAAACAGCTCCTTGAAGTCCACCTTCTCCTTCTGCTGGTACCCCTTGGCTACAAGCCTAGACTTGTAGCGCTCGATCTTGCCGTCGGCATCCGACTTGATTTTGAAGAGCCACTTGGACGTTATCGCCGTACGCCCCTCCGGTAGCTCCACCAATTCAAACGTGTCATTCTCCTCGATGCTCTTCAGCTCACTCTCCATGGCCTTCTTCCACTCCTCAGCATCACTACTCTCCAAAGCCTCCTTGAGAGTTGCTGGTTCTCCCGGCATCTCCACCGGAGAGAAGAACGCGAAGGCACACTCCTCGTAGTCACTCTCCTCGTCGTCTCCGACCATCATTGCCGCTCCGGCCAGGGCTGTCTTGCCCTGCTTTCCCGGCGCATCATAGGTCAGCCTATTAGGGGGTTGAACTCTCCTCTTCCCCCTTCCTTCCTCCTCAGCTGCAGGGACTTGAAGGCCTTGGCGTTGCTGCGGTGTGGCTCGAATCCGTGGAGCACTCGTAGTACGGGAAGGGAGTGACGGTGCACGCTCGCTCACTTGCTGCACCTCCTCCTCTTCTTCCTCTGCATCATTGGCCTCCTCTCCCCCATTCACAAGGGAGGATTGCCTTGTGGTTGTGCTGCCGCTGCTCAGCTCCAAAGGCAGCTCCACATGCTCCAAACCGGAACTCTTCACCTCCCCAAACCGCACGCCTATCTTCGCCTCATTCTCCGCCTTCCAATCCTTGTACATGAAGTTCTCCATGAACTTGCAGTCCCTGCTCACCAAGAACTTCTTGGTGAATGGGTCCCAAAGAAGCCATCCCTTGCTGTTTTGAGCCATGCCCAAGTGCACGGCCCACACCGCCTTGGCACCAAGCTTGTTGTGCCGAAGATGCTTAGGCACGAGCGCCATGCACATGCACCCGAACACCCGAAGCATATCCACCTTTGGCTTCCTTCCTAACCACTCCACATAGGGCACCCATTTTTCTGCTCCCACATGAGTCAAGGCTCTGTTCTTGGCCACACACGCGCTCCGCACCGCATCAGGCCAGAAATAGTCGGGTAGCCCGGCTTCAATGAGCAACCCGCGTGCCGCCTCCGTGATTGTGCGGTTCGCTCGCTCGGCGATGCCGTTCATTGCAGGGGAGTATGGCATGGTGAGGGAGTGCCGAATACCATTCTTCTTCAGCCACAACCCAAACTCCTTGCTCAGGAACTCTCCCCCTCGATCGGTGCGGATTGACTTGACTAGACGGTCTTGTTGCCGCTCCACCATCGGGAACCAATCCGTCTTCAACGTTTCAGCCACGTCGCTCTTCTTGGCCAGCACGTACACCCAAGTCATGCGGGTGTAGACGTCGACAATGGTGAGAAAATACTCAGCTCCAGCAGCTCCAAGCTTCAGGGGGCCCACCACGTCCATCACCACCTCATCAAGCGGTGCCTTTGCCGTTGCCTCCGAACTAGGGAACGGAAACCGGGTGAACTTGGCTTGAATGCACGTCGGGCAGCCAAGCACCTCATCGGGCTCCCCCTTCACACGTATGCCAGCAACCATCTCATTCTTCACTAGCTGCTGCAAGATGGGCAGGGCCACATGCCCCATGCGCCGATGCAAGGTGAGCCAATCACACTCCCCCGTAGCCGAAGTTGGATTGGAGAATGCCGCGCTCGCAATAGCGCCCCACATACTCTCTCCGTAGTCCTCCTCCGCTGCTGCCTCTGGGTTCTCCTCACCCTTTTGCTGCTCCTTGGTTGCTGCACCACTCTCCTTAGGTTCACTGAACTTGCTGGTCCCTCCAGGTTTGCTCTTCTTGAGCTCATTCTCCTTAGCGCGACCGTTCGCGCCATCGTCGCTACCGACCGCTCCATCCTTGGTGCTGATGCTTGCTGCCACTTGCCTCTCCTTAGGCATAGGGACCACTGGAATCTGCCACATCTTGTTGTAGACATCCCTGTCCTCATGAAGGTCCCAAAGAATTCGATCGCCAAGCCTTGCGGTGTAGGTCTTGGCTCCCTTCGAGTTCGTGTCCATGCCGGCCTTTGCCAACCGCCGCACGGAAATCAGGTTTGCAGCAAGGCTGGGCACCCAAAGCACGTTCTTGAGGCCCACCATCTTCCCATCAGCACCCTTGAACATGGCCTTGCCCATGCCTTTCACCTCTGCTCGCTGCCCCAAAGCCGATGTGACATGCTTCACCGGTGACGGCTCGAGTTCGGTGAGCAAGTCCGGGCGAGGTGTCATGCTATAGGTAGTGCCACTATCAATCACCCAATAGTCCAGGGGGTGTAGGGTCACCTTCCCCACAGCTGCTGGCTCCTCAAAGCCTTCATCCTTCTCTGGACCAGCCGGTACTTGCGTCGACACGAAGTAGAATAGACCCGGGTATCGATCGTCGCTCGGGTCCTTGTCGTTGTCTCCGCTCTTCATGTTTGCAGCTCCGCCACCGCGACCGCCACGGCCTCCACGGCCTCGTCCTCTCCCTCCTCCTGCTCCTCTACCCTCTTGGCCTTGAGCAGGGGTCCAACCATCAGGGAGTTTGTAGCAGTCACGCCACATGTGTCCGCTCTTGTGGCAATAGTGACACTCGCCGTCGAATCGGCCGCGACCGCGTCCGTAGCTCTTGTCGTCGCTGCCGTAACCGCCACTCCTGCGGCCTCCGCCGAAGTTGCTGCCACCAAACCTTCCTCCCCCTCGTCCTCTGCCTCTTCCTCGACCATATCCACGGCCGATGCTCGCTGCCCCAGCGCCATCCGCACTCGCCAACTCACGGCGGCGGAAATCCTCTTGAAGGATAGCTCGCTTCACGTCTTCAAGCGAGAGGCGGGGCAAGTCGCGATTAAGGTTGATGATGAGCGAGGACCATGACTCTGGGAGTAAGGCCAGCAACTTGGTCTTCTTTTGGAGCTCACTGTAGTTCAAATCAGCTCCCTCAAGCCGCGTCAACAAGTCGAAGAATTTCTGCACCCCTTCTTCAACCGCTTCGTCTTCTTCAATTCGTAGTGCCGCCATTTGCCGTTCCAACACCACCGCTACCGCCGCTGTTGCAGGAGCATGTACACCCTTGAGAGCAGCCCATGCCTTTGGTCCTTTCTCTGGTTCACGCTGGAATGGCTTGATGTGACGGATCTGACTGCTCCCCAACGCTTGCCCAAGTAAGAGATAGCCTTGTGCGCTCTTCCGCACCCACGGGCTCTTCTCCGGGTCGTTCTCGGGGCGCTTCTCCGTTCCTTCCATCACCTCCAGCAGGTCATAATGGTCAAAGATGTTCTCCATCTTGAAGGACCATTCAGCAAAGTTGTCACCGTTGAACTTGTCAAGCCCAAACACCCTAGGCTCATCCCTAGGTGGGCCAAGACTTGGTTGCATGGGCGCCATGGCTGAATCACGGGGTTGGCCTTGAGCTTGAGCTTCTCCACTGCCACCAGCACCTCTGCCACCCCTTTCCTCAGGTCCAGACATTGTCGAAACTGCTCCAAGGGGCTCTGATACCACTTGTTATAGTCACAATAGGCTTGAATGTGCCTAAAACGAAAGATAGAGAGCACAGACGGATTTCTGCACAGCGGCTCCAAACGTTGATAGCGTTCTGCTCACAGCTGCAAATGACCTGATTCAAATTGTATCTGGAGCGTCTTCACGTCGTCTACAATTAGCAATTTAGATTGCACGATTTGATAAAGAATTGACGACACAGCGTCGGTTTGAACGAACGGTACTATGGCAGCCACTATAGTCTTAGAACACAAGATAGGAAGAGTTACGAGTTGGGAATGACTCCCAGCTCCTACAAACCCCAAGAGCCGAGGTACAGTGATGTGGAACAGTGCCACACTGTCCCCAACCACGAAGGGTCTCGAAACTACCCTTCACTAGGGCCTACACCAAGTGAAATGTTACACTACACAAAGTAATGTAACTATCTTCAATATCTTGAGGTGTACCCTTTTTGGCGAGCTTCGAAATCACTTGAGGCTTGACACCAAGGCTCGGGCTCTTCATCACAAACTCATCCTTGAGTTCTTGATGGGTCTGCTGCACACACCTGCGACATGCCGAACGTTCGACACAGGACAAAATAGAAACCGCGCACGACAAAATAGAAACCGCGCGCGAGACACAAACGACCGCGTAACACGCGTCTAGCGATAACTCGCTATTGACTCGACACACACACTCGACATCATGACTCAACATTCACACACAATTATAAGCATGAAATATATATTATCCCATGCGCTCATACCATTCCATACACACACACATTCACGCACACGGACAACAAGCCGAGTGCAAACCGTAGGGTTGCACCAACACTGATTTCACTATTTGACATGGTTTCAGAGCAGGCCTCATCCTGGGCCCACCCTTCCTGCAGCCCCTAACGCGCCCTGCAGCAGGCCCTATGGCACGACCCGCACGCCAGCGCGCGACCGGCACTAGTAGCGCGCGCGCCTCCTTCCAGCTCAGCACTAGTAGCGCGCCCGCACTGCCAGCCAGCGCGCGACCTGCAGTAGGAGCGCGCGCCCCTCGCCAGCGCGCAACCAGCAGCAAGAGCGCGCACGCCCCTCACCAGCGCGCGACCAGCAGCAGGAGCGCGCACGCCCCTCGCCAGCACGCGGCCAACAACAGGAGCATACGCGCCTGCACCAGCCCGCTTCCCGCCGCCCCTCCACTTGCTGCGCACTGCTTCGACGGGCGCCGTGGGGGGGGGGAGTGGTGGGATTGGCAGCCGAGGCTGCAGGGGTACTGAAGCCCCATTGACCCCCCAGCCCCCTCCCTTTTCCTCCTCCTCGCCATTGCACCTGCACCTACTATGTGTGCCGCGTTGGGGGGGGTGGAAGAGAGGGTGTGGGAGTGGCGGGTCTGACCAGGCAGCCGCCCCTCCATCTCTTATCTTCCAGCCTCACATTTCATCTACCTTTCTTCTCTCGTCCAACCGTCTCCTTTCATTTCCTCCTCCTCTCTCCTCTCCTCCAGTCACCTTTCCTCCTCCTTTCCTCCTCCTCTCAACCACCTCTTGTGCACCACCAGCTTCCTCCTCCTATCCAACAGTTGGTGTTTATCACCAACAGCCTACGCCCTCCGGTTTAGCCCTCCAACAGTTGGTGTTTATCACCAGCAGCCTACGCCCTCCGGTTTAGCCTTCCAACAGTTGGTGTTTATCACGAGCAGCCTACGCCCTCCGGTTTAGCCTTCCAACAGTTGGTGTTTATCACCAGCAGCCTACGCCCTCCGGTTTAGCCCTCCCCCCTCTGTTCTGGCGTTTACAGGTGCTGCCGGTCAGCCACCGTTGTTTCTGTTCATATCCCATCTACAGCAACCGCTCTCCAGGCGACCTGCAGCCAGACACCACTAGCTATAGCCGTAGGCAGTTACGGGGTGTGTTAAATTATATTGCATATCCTAATTGCCTACAGCTTGCTGCTAGTGTATAAGTTAGATATTAGAACCTATTGCTGATGGTGTACCCTTTTGTCTTGCCTAGCCTCTTGCCTTTCCTATATCTTGTACCCTTACCTAATATTGTGCACGTCATCAGGTACATGAGGCAACCCACAAGCTCTGCGTAACGACCACTAGGCTCAACAGGCTCATCGGGAACAAGAACAGTGCGTTTGTGGTCAACAGCAAGAGGAGTGGCCTGTGTCGAAATATATTTATATGTATTTATTATATCTGCCTGTAGTGTAACTGTAGTGTAGTTCTTTGGTAGGTGGTGCACCTCTTTCGTTGTTTCTTTGTTATATGTACCTCCCGTTCTATAATGAAGTCACACATTCTCGACTTCTCCTTGGTGACATCCTTGGCCTAAGCTCCTAAGCCTAGTCCCTACCTAAACCCTTACGCTACTATATTGACATAGTATTGAGCTTGTAAGTTCCTAGTGCCTGAAATATTCCCATGGGCCCACCACGCTCCTAGGCTTTGCAACGGCCCGCCTCATGCTGGCCCGTCCCGCTCACCAGCGCGCTAGCAAGCTCGCCGGCAAGATCGCCAGCGGATCCGCCAAAAAGCACGGCAGCGAGCCCGCCAACCGACCTGCCAACGGAACCGTCCACGAGCCCGCCAACGGACACGCCAACGCGCTAGCGAGCCCGTCAACGGAACTGCCTGTCAACGGGGGGGGGGGGGACAGCAGGAATGGAGGTGGCGGACAGTGGGGGGGGGGGCAGCGGCAGTGGAATGGAGGTGGCGGTGGCGGGGTGGCGATTCATGGGGGGGGAGGGGGTGTGGAGTGTGCGGGGGTGGCAGGAGTGTCACTGCAGCACCTACCGTCACTGCACCTCCTCCTCTCTCTCCTCTCTGCCGCGACTGATGCTGTGGGGGGGGAGGCTATGGGGGGGTATGAGGGGGTGGCAGGCGTATCCCTGCAGCACCTACCGCCACTGCACCTCCTCCTCTCTCTCTCTCTCTCTCTCTCTCTCTCTCTCTCTCTCTCTCTCTCTCTCTCTCTCTCTCTCTCTCTCTCTAATGGTCCTTGTATTGATATAGCAGCAAGGTACAAGTATGCAGGGTATGGATGTAACAAACAAGGCACCAATACCTACTCACTATTCTCCTAGTGCTCCAAGAAGGGCTCTACCACCGCAAAACAGTCCCCTAGGTGTAACTCCTGACCGATACCCCCTACAGGCGGGTTCTCTGCTGCTGCCGCCTCGCCCAACTTGAGTAGAAGACCCACTGATTGGGCCCTCTGAAGTGCCACAGACCATCGCTGCCGAAACTGGTGCAGAAATTTGGCGGCATAAAAGGATTTAGAGTCGGCATTGAAATGGCGCCGAGCCGCTGTGTCCGCTAGTAGCTTCAGGAAGGTTGGTACTTCCGCGCATGGGCAGCCATAGGTGTCGACTTCCAGTGGGAAAAAGCCAACCATCTCCGGCCGGTTGGCATAATGCTTGATCTTCTTATCCGCTTGTTCCCGTGCCGCCCATCCCCTGCCTTTTTGCGCCTCTGGGTCCCTTGTGCTTATGGGGTCTGTGATGGTGACATCACAAACATAAACCGCCCCACTGTTTCTATCTGTCAAGGTGAAATCGGCGGTTTGTTCCTCGATAGGGCAGTGGACAGCCGACTCACCGTGAACAATGAATCCTGCGTGCTGCGCCATGCTAATGCACGCATCCCGTAGCTCGTTGTGAGTGTTGATGCGATGTTTGCCCATGCCGCAGCGGAGGAGATGGTTTGGCAGGCGGGGATCAGTAATAGCGGTCTTGTCCGCGCAGTCGCAATTCTTAGGGGTTGAAAAGGGGAGGGCCAGGCAGAAGCGAACGGCGTTGGCGAAGTGTACGGGGCCTATCCGTCTCGTGGGTTCAATGGGGATCGCAGTCAGCCAATCGCCGGTGCCATATCCAGTCAGCGAGAACATCCGCTGCGTGTGGCCTGAGAGTGGGTTCAGCCGCATGCGCCTGGTTGCCTGGACCTGTACGGCGTATCTGCTTCCGTGCACCTTTAGCCCGAGCACATGTTGTAGCCTAATATCCGATCGCTCCAGCCACTCCTTTTCCAGGATCTCGTGCGCGTCTAGTGGCAGGGCCGCCTCGCACTCCTTTAGCCATGAATGCATCGGCGTGCTGTCATCTCTTGGCAGTAGCATGTGGTTCTGAGCGATCGTCAAAGCGTTCTCCGGTTCTAGCGCTAGGGAGGACAGGAATAGCGCCGCTTGGGTGAAACTCGCTGTGAAACCGTAGACCCCTTCTATGAGCGGGTCTGTAATGCCTATGCCGCCCAGCGACGTGGGCAGCGACGCCTGCTCCCACACACGCGCTTGCTCGGTGCGACACGTTGGCATGCGGATGTCGCATGAGGTGAGTAAGGTAATGAGCAGGTCCCGACCCCACTGGCTCCAGGTGTCGCGGGGGAGTAGGTGGAGCGGTGTCGTTCTAATGAGGTAGGCTACTCGTCTGGAGATGCATCGCGTGAGGAGCAGCGCAGCTACTTGGGAGTCAGCACGTTCTATAAGTGGCATCGGCTTCGTCATCTCGGCTAGCTGTCCGGATAGGAACTTGGCTGCTCCGGCGTCCGTCCCCACGTAGCTACCCAGAAGCCGTACTCCGTCCTTAGAAACCGGCACTCCGGGCGGGAGTTGTGCTTGTGTGACTGTGGTTGAGCTCCAGGCCGCGCATTTCTGCGGATTATGCGTCAGGCCCAGATGGGCCAGCTTGGCTGTGAAATCTGTGAAAGCTGCTACAGTGCACGATGTGTCACCCAGGAAGGTGACATCGTCCACATACGCCAAGAAGAGCACGTTGGGGTGTGCCTCTGCAATCTCACAGAGCGTGGGGTGTATTCCTGCTGCAAACAGTAACGGGCCTAGAGGGTCTCCCTACCGAACGCCCCGTTCACTTTGCAGCGGTTCGCAGTTGAAATCGGCGTCCAGGAGCAGTTGCGACGGGTTACCGTAGGCCAGTTTAACAAATGGCTGCAGTGGCGAGAGTCCGGGCTCCTGTAACGCAGTAGCGATGGCATGTCGCGAAATGCTGTTGAATGTGTTTGAAATATCGGCTTGTAGGACCAGGCTGTTGGGACGGGCATCCAAGAATGCCCTGGCTGCGTGGATTACCGCCTCTGCTCCACCTGTCACTGCCACGCCGTACTGAAGTGGCAGGAAATATTCGCGGGCAGCTTCACCCATGGCTATCAGGGCTGCCTTGGCTGTTAGCCTTGTCAAGCATTCGCCTATCGCGATTGGCCGGGCTCCTCCCCCAGGTTTGGCCAGAGCTATGAGCCGTGACGCAGTCAGAAATTTTGCGACCGGGCCTGGCTAATTTCCTCCGAGCATGGTATTGACCAAGGCGTGCAGATGGGTGCTGACCATTGCATTGGTGATCGCCGCGTCGCGCAGGTGCTCAAATGTCGTACCCGAAGGTCCGGCTCCCACCCCGTTCTCGCATCTTCCCAGAATCTTGGCGAACTCAGCATGGGTGATGGACCGTTTTGACTCGGGTGGCTCGGGCCAGTTCACTGCTTCGGGTACTGCTGGCGGGTGCTTTTGACGCAGCTCTTCCAAAATTTCCGGGCTTGAGGTGCAGACGGGTGTTGACTCCAGGGCCAGCACGGCCCGGCGTAGGCTGCCACGTTTCGCTAGGCCCTCGGCTCGGCTGATGACTCCGGTCGTGTCAGGCTGGTGTCGTGGCGGTGGGGGTGTGTTGACTGCGTTGACCGCGTCCTGGTATAGCTGCCCCCATTCGCCGCGCTGAAAGGCTCGGAGCCGGGCCTTAACCCCCGGCCAGTTCGGTCTTTGTGGCGAGGTCTGGCGAAGTGTTAGGCGCGGGAGAAACAGCAGCAGGCGCCAACCCGCTTCGGATTCAGGGTTTCGCGATAGGTGAAGTAACGGTGTCAGAAGCGCCAGCGAGAACAGTTGGCACAGATTCGGCAGTAAACGGCGTGACAGCGAAGGTTGACGACTGTCGCAGAGTGCCGCGATGTCCCAGCTCGCGATGGTTGCGAACAGGTCTGCTCGCCTCGCCAGTTCGTCAGGCGAAAAATAGCGGGGAGTCGGAGTGGATTGGCGCGTCGCGACATTGATAGTGGCGGTGCGATTTCGTCGAGCACGGCCCGTCCGCGCTGGTGGGATTGGGGTTGGAATTTCACCCGTTCGATCGACATCGGACGGTTGATGATCCGCCTGTGCTACTTGCGTGGCTGAGTGTCCTACCCCTGTTACTCTACTTCCCGCTGCCTCCCTTGCACTGCCTTCGTCCTCCGTCCCCTCGTCTTCGCTGGGAGGGAGGGATTCTTCCCTATAAGATGGGTCCCTTAGCTCGTCCTCCTCATTAGTTGCCTCCAGGGCCGTTAAAGCCATTCGTGCTGCTGCTTGATACCCGTTCTCCGGACCTCCGCCCGTCCCGCTAGTAACCTGCCTCCTAGCTCCGCGATCTCCCCGCTCTCCAGATGGTGATTGCCGGTTCGTCTGAGCCATCGCCAGAGCGCGCTGCCGCCTGGTCAGCTGTGGTCGCCCAGCCTCAGTCGGAGCCCGGAAAGGCGACCACGGCAACGAAGCCCCCTGTACCGCCGGCTCCGAAGCCCGTGACAACAGTCGCTGAAAAGACTCATCCCCACGCACCCGCGGATCCCCTTGCCGTGTCAGGGGCTGGCCCCTCCGCTCCTGCTGCTGCTCCGTCCTCTCCGGCTGCTGCTCCTGTTCCCCTGGCTCTCTTTGTCGAGCCGCCGGTGTCTGCTCCTGCTGGGGGTGTTGCTGATCCCCCTGTTCTTGTCCCTGGCGCGCCCGTTGCACCGCCCGCTTCTGTCCCCGACGTGCCTGCTCCGGCTTCTCTTTCATCGCCGAAGGCGACGTCCGCCACCACTGGCGGCCCGGCTCCGTCGGTTGCTCCCTCAGCGGCGGGCCAGTCCGCGCCTGCGGCGATGCCGATGGCCCAGGCAGGTCAGCCGTCACGCCCCCCGTCGCCTGACCGCCGCCCGTCACACCCCCATTCCCCCGCGCTCCATCGGGAGCGCGCGTCGTCTCGGCGCCGGCGTGACTCTCCACGGCGCTACCAACAGCAATCTCACTGGCCTGCCCAACCTGGAGGTCAGGGGGGCTGGAGGGGTCCCCGCGGGCGCGGTGGCGGTGGGGCGTACCGCACGCCCGTGACGATGGCGGATCTTCAGCGGGAAGTGTCGAAAGCAGTGCGTGAGGAGAGGGCCGCGCAGAGCCAGAGCAGTTCGATGCACGCCTCGCCTGCCCGCGCGGCTCCACATCCGGCTGCGCTCCCCTCGAATCCACTGCCTGCTGCTGCACCCCATCCGCAGGTTCCAGCCCCAACGCTTCCTGCTCCCGCTGCCTTGGCCCCTTCTCCTGGAGCGCGCCTTCGTCTGCCGCCGGTTCCGCCCGTGGCGGGAGTGGAATTTGTGGCCGCGGGAGGAGGAGTGGCGGGGGCACGGTATTCTCCTCACGTCGCAGGTGGATCGGCGTTTCTTGCTGCCGATGAGCCGTTTCATTTCCTGGCGGAGGCGCTTCAGCCTCCTCAGACACGTGTTCCTGAGGCGACGCTCGGCCAGCTCTCCCGTCTCGCGGAGAGCCTTCATGCACTGCTGTTGATTCAGGTTCTTGCTCATGCGTCTCTCCCCGCGGTTCCCGCAGAGACGTTTCATGACAGTCCGCATGAGACGTGCTTGGATGCTGCGGACCAGCTCGCACTGCTCCTGGGGCCCGTGTTGGCTGCGCTCGCAGAGGGTGGCGCTGCGGCTGTGGGACAGCTTGACGAGGCTGTCCGGGGTTTGAGGCGACACTTGCGCGCAGGTTCTGGAGCCGCCGCGATCGGCGCAAGCACGCTTGTGGTCCGGGAGCTGTGGCGGACGTTGACGGGCGTTCCCTTGGAGCTCACCGCATGTAGACGCGGGCTCCTCTTGCCCCATTGTTACCATTGTTGCTTAGGCCGGTGTTGATGCTGCCATTGCGTGTATGACGTTGCTTATAGTAACTCGCCTGTGTGATCCCTTGCCACCCCTCACGCGCGGCCGAAGGACGCGCTGTCGAGCGTCGGCCGCCGAGCGAAAATTATTCGGCCGCCACACAATGAAGAAGAGATGCCAAGAAGGCCCCTTATATAGCTGGAGTAGGAGAGGGCAGAGGGCTGAGGGTAGAGGGCAGAGGCAAGAACTCTCTCTCTCTCTCTCTATCGGCTAGGAAGCACAGAGAATATGAGGGTCGTCCGGACTATGTAGGTTTCTTTGGCCTGGCAGTTGAGACGTATGGGGCTCTGTCCACCGACACACAGGAGTTCCTAAGACTCCTTGCCACCTCAGCGGCAAAGAAAAAGTACCGCCAGGGGAAGTTGACAACGACGACTGCACGACTCACCGCTCACTACCGGCAGCGCTGGTTAGTGATGCTGCAGCGCTCCCAGGCGACATCTTACCTGAACAAGTCAAGCCTCTCAGACGAGGCGGCGTTCCCCCAGGCAGCTAGGGACCCTTGGGAACCTAGCCTGGGGGACCTCTGGCAAGTGCTGGAGGATGAGCTGGAGGACGTGATGGCTCAGTAGGTAGGATAAGCTGTAGGCTAGCTGGGTAACTATGGCTGCTGCATGATAAGCTGGTTTGGCTGGTTTGCCCGCCAGGGTCTGTTTGCCGTACTAGGCCTTGCCTTGCAGTGCCCTGTCTTGCTTGCCTGCCTTGCGTGTTTGCCCTGCCTATCCTGCCCGGCCTGACTGTTTGCAGATGTCCTGCCCGCCGCCAATACTTGCCTTGCATGTTTGGTTACTTCAAATGCCTAGGCCTGTCTAGCACCTATCTCTGCCTTGCCTGTATCCCTATGAACCTATCAATGAAGGACTGCTTGAGAGAGAGAGAGAGAGGCAGAGAGAGAGAGAGAGAGAGAGAGAGAGAGAGAGAGAGAGAGAGAGAGAGGCACCCCCACCCTCCCATCTAAAACTCTGCCTGATAGGGCAGAGGGCTGAGGGCAGAGGGCAGAGGCTAGTACCCTCTCTCTCCTCTCTCTCTCTCTCTCTCTCTCTCTCTCTCTCTCTCTCTCTCTCTCTCTCTCTCTCTCTCTCTCTGCCTCTCTCTCTCTAATGGTCCTTGTATTGATATAGCAGCCAAGTACAAGCATGCAGGTCATTGAGGCATAGATAGCTAACATGCAGGGCACAAGCACCACAAATCTACAAATCCACTAGGGGCTCAATGACTGCAAAGCAGTCCCCAAGGTGCAACTCGTCTCCAATCCCCCCCACAGGCGGGTTCTCTACCGCCGCAGCCTCCCCAAGTTTGAGCAAGAGGCCCACAGATTGGGCCCTTTGGAGGGCCACTGACCAACGTTGCCTGAACTGGTGCAGGAACTTTGCAGCATAGAATGATTTGGAGTCGGCGTTGAAGTGGCGCCGAGCTGCAGTGTCCGCCAAGAGTTTCAGGAAAACTGGCACCTCCGCACAAGGGCAGCCGTAGGTGTCTACTGCCAGAGGGAAGAAATTCACCGTCTCTGGCAGGGCGGCGTAGTGCTGGATCTTCTTGTCCGCCTGCTCGCGTGCCGCCCAGCCCCTGCCCTTCTGCGCCTCTGGGTCCCTAGTGCTAATAGGATCGGTAATAGTGACGTCGCACACGTAGACCGCACCGCTGCTTCTTTCCATCATTGTAAAATCAGCGGTCTGTTCCTCAATGGGGCAGTGCGCCGATGACTCGCTGTGGACAATGAACCCCGCGTCTTGGGCCATGCTAATGCAGGCATCGCGCAGCTCGTTATGGGTGTTGATGCGGTGCTTGCCCGAACACCTTTGCCTGAAGAGATGAAGGAACTTGGCTGCTTGAAATGATTGAGGTTGGGCGTTGAAGTGTCGCCTAGCAGCCGTATCCGCTAGCAGCTTCAGGAACTTAGGAACCTTGACACATGGGCACCCATAGGTTTCGACCGCCAGGGGGAAAAAGCCAACTGTGTCAGGGCGGTTGGCGTAGTGACTGATTTTCTTATCCGCTTGCTCCCTTGCCGCCCATCCCTTTCCCTTGGTTGCATCCGGGTCCCTGGTGCTTATCGGGTCCGTTATGGTCACGTCACAAATGTATACCGCTCCCGTGCTCTTGCACCGCAAGGTGATGTTAGCAGTCTGCTCCTCGATCGGGCAATAGGCAGCCGATTCCCCGTGAACGATAAAGCCCGCTTCCTTCGCCATGGTGATACAGGCGTCACGGAGTTCGTTATGGGTGTTGATTCTGTGCTTGCCCGTCCCGCAGCGAAAAAGGTGGTTCGGCAGCCGTGGATCTGTTATCTCAGTGTGGTCCTTGCAATCACACTTTGCGGGTGTAGAGAAAGGGAGGCCGAGCCGAAAACGGACCGCGTTGGCGAAGTGCTCGGGGCCCATGCGGCGTGTTGGCTCGATCGGTATTGCGGTAAGCCAGTCCCCGGCGCCGTAACCAGTAAGTGAGAGGAACCGTTGTGTGTGGCCAGACAATAGGTTTAGGTCCATGCGTCTGGTTGCCTGTACTTGCATGGCATATCGTCTGCCCTGCATCTGTACCCCGAGCACGTGTTGCAGCTTGAGACCGGTCGGCTCCAGTCTCTCCTTGTCAAGGATTTCCGTGGCCCCCTGCGGTAGCGTCGCCTCGCATTCGGTCAGCCACGAGTGCAGGGCAGTGTCTGTGTCCCGTGGTAGCGTCATGTGGTTTCGAACGGCAGTCAGTGCGTCACTGGGCCCTAGCTCTAGTGAGCTCAGTAGCATCGAGGCTTGTGTGAAACTGGCGAGGAAGCCGAAAGTCCCCTCCACCGTGGGGTCTATAAGTCCTATTCCGCCAAGCGACGGTGGGAGTGATGACTGCTCCCAGACCCGTGTCTGCTCTACGCTATCTGTTGGAACGCATATGCCGCATAGCAGTCAGAAGCGTGGATAGCAGATCCCTGCCCCACTGTGACCAGGTGTCGCGAGCCAGGTGGTGAAGCGGCGTCGTTCGTGTGAGGTAAGCTACTCGTCGCGAAATGCAGCGCGTGAGCAGTAGCGATGCAATCTGCGGATCTGTGTGTTCTAATAGCGCCAATGGCTTGGACATGGCCCGTAGCTGGTCTGATAGGAAAGCTGCGGCGCTGGCCTCTGTACCTAAGAAACTGCCGAGGAGTCTAACGCCTTCGTTGCAAAACGGCACTCCTGGCGGCAGCTGTACCGGATGGTGTAACGGTTGACGACTCCACGCGGCGCACTTCCCAGGGTTGTGCTGTAGCCCTACTCGTGCTAGCTGGCGTGTGAAGTGAGAGAACGCCGTGACCGTCTCGTGTGGGTCACCTAGGAAGCTAACGTCGTCCGCGTACGCTAAGCAGAGTACGTCTGGATGTGCTGACGCGGTTGCTTGTAATGCGGGGTGTATCCCAGCTGCGAAGAGGAGCGGTCCTAAGGGGTCCCCTTGCCGGACCCCGCGTTCGCTGGTTAGCGGCGGGCTGTTGAAACCAGTGTCTAAGTAGAGCAGTGACGACTGGCCGTAAGTCTGACGGACTAACGGCAGCAGTGGCGAGAGGGCTGGGTCCTGTAATGCCGTAACTATAGCTTGACGCGTGATGCTGTTGAACGCATTCGAAATGTCTGTTTGTAGGATAAGGCAGTTTGGTTTTGCGTCGGTGTAGGCCCGTGCACTGTGGATGATCGCCTCGGCTCCCCCTAGTACTGCCACGCCAAATTGGAGGGGGAGGAAATAGGCTCGGGCCGCTTCACCCAGGACTGTCAGCGCAGCCTTTGCTGCCAGACGTGTCAGACATTCGTCTATCGATATCGGGCGGGCCCCACCTTCTGGCTTGGCCAGAGCTATCAGACGTGATGACGTGAGAAGCTCAGCCACAGGCTGCGGCAGTTTCCCTTTCAGGATAGTGTTAACCAAGGTGTGGAGGTGGGTGCAGACGGATGCGTTTGTGAACGCCGCGTCGCGAAGGTGTTCAAAGGTCGTCCCGCTCGGGCCGGCTCCCACCCCGTTTTCGCTTCGGCTCACTAACTTCACAAAATCTACGTGGGCAATTTCCAGCCCTGCTGGCTCGGTGCTGGGTGGCCAGTTAAGTGGTTCGGCTTCGGCTGGTGGGTGCTTGCGGCGGAGCTCGTCCAGAATTTGGGGACTCGGTTTGCAGACTGGTGTTGACTCCAGAGCCAGTACTGCCCGACGTAGGCTTCCCCGCTTTGCCAATCCTTCGGCTCGGCTAATGACGCCCGCGTCATCTGGCTGGTGACGTGGCAGGGGTGGTGTGTTGACCGCTTCAACTGCGTCAGAGTACAACTGCGCCCATTCTCCTTGTTGGAATGCACGCAGCCGCGCCTTGACCTGCGACCAATCAGGATGCCGCGTTGAGGCCTGGTGCAGTGTTAGGCGCGGGAGAAAAAACAGTAACCGCCAGCCTGCGATGGAATCGGGGTTTCGCGAGAGGTGGCACAAATTGGGCGGTAATCGTCGTAACAGAGGGGGTTGGCGACTATCGCAGAGCTCCATTATGTCCCAGTTCGCCACTTCTGCAAACCTGTCTGGGTGCCTCGCCAGCTCTTCTGGCGAAAAATAGCGCGGGGGTGTCATCTGCGGCGCCGAGTTGGTTTGTGCCCTCGCGGTCCGATGTGCGCGGATGCGGCTCGATGATGGGGTGGTTGATGTGGTTGGATTTGTAGCCGTCCGATTGCCAGCCCGTGACTCCCCTCCGTTCCTTGGCTGCGCAGCTGCATTCCGCTCTCCAACTCGATTCTCTCTCCTCGTTTGTACTTCCTCCCCGTCTCCTTCACTCTCGCTGCTGCTGGATGGTGGTTGAGGTTCCTCCCTATAAGTAGGGTCCGCCGCTTCCTCGAGATCAGTAGCCTCCGTGTTAGCAGCTAGCATTATTAAAGCCAATCGACCTGCTGCCTGAAATGCATTCTCAGGGCCCCCTCCTGTACCGCTTCCTCCTCGTCGTCCCGCGCCCCGGCGCCTTCCTCCTCACGATGGTGATTGCTGGTGGGCCCGAGCAGTTGCCAGTGCGCGCTGTCGTTGCGTCAGTGGTGCGCGAAAAGTCACCGCCGGTGACTGAATCGGCAAACGTCGCGGCGAAGCCGCCATTGCCGCCTGCCCCGAAAACCGTGTCATCGCCAACTGCGGGGCCGGCGGTAGCCCATCCTGAGCCTCTGGCTGCAGCGTCGCTTCCGGCTGCCGTGGTCGCTCCTCTTGCACCCGTTCGCCAGGAGCCTGTGCCTGCGCACCTGCGGCGGTTGTTGTGCCACCCGTTGCCCCCGTCCTAGCCGCCCTGTTCTGAGAGAAAAGAAACTCAACAGAACAGAATGAGTGGGAAAGAAGGACTCCCAGGGCCTATATACTAGCTAGGAGGTGCCAAGAGAGGCTAAGAGAGACTGAGAGGCTAAGGACCGGCTCCTAGTGCCCCTCTCTCTCTCTCTCTCTCTCTCTCTCTCTCTCTCTCTCTCTCTCTCTCTCTCTCTCTCTCTCTCTCTCTCTCTCTATCTCTCTCTCTCTCTCGATCTCTCTCCATAGCCGCCGTTTTTTGAGAGAAAAGAAACTCAACAGAACAGAATGAGTGGGAAAGAAGGACTCCCAGGGCCTATATACTAGCTAGGAGGTGCCAAGAGAGGCTAAGAGAGGCTGAGAGGCTAAGGACCGGCTCCTAGTGCCTCTCTCTCTCTCTCTCTCTCTCTCTCTCTCTCTCTCTCTCTCTCTCTCTCTCTCTCTCTCTCTCTCTCTCTCTCTCTCTCTGCCGCTGCTGCAGATGTGGGGGGGGGTTCAGGGGGTGTGGGTGATGTGAGTCCAGCTGCAGCATCAGCCGCCTCCTCCTCCACTCATCCCCTGCCTTGTCCCCGTGCCTCCCGTGCTGCCCGTGTCCTTCCGTGCCTCCCATGCTGCCCGTGTCCTCCCTTGCCTCCCGTGCTGCCCGCAATGTGCTGCCTCCCGTGCTGCCCGTGTCCTCCCGTGCCTCACGTGATGCCCGTGTCCTCCCGTGCCTCCCGCGCTGCCCGTACCGTGCTGCCTCCCGTGCTGCCCGTGTCCTCCCGTGCTGCCCGTGTCCTCCCGTGCCTCCTGTGCTGCCCGTGGCCTCCCGTGCCTCCCATGCTACCCGTGTCTCCCGTGCCTCCCGTGCCGCCTGTGTCAAAAATATTATATATTCTATAACTGCTTGTAGTTAGTTGTAGGGTGATTATATTGTTTCTTGTTTTGGTGGTGCACCCTTGTGTTTGCTATATGTACCTCGTGTTCTATAGTAAAGTAACGCATTCTCAACTTTCTCCTTGGTGACAACTCTCTCGACATCCATGTCCTATGCTCCTTAGCCTAGGCCCTACCAAAACCATAGTTCATACTTACGTTCGTATCTTGACATGGTATTGAGCTAGTACTTTCATAGCATGTCAATTTTATGGGCCCACCAACCCGTAACTCTCGCGCCGTCCGCCCGAAGCTCGTCACGTTCTGCCCATGGGGAGCACGCCCGCAAACCCGCCGACGGACCCGCCAGCGAGCGCGTCAGCGAGCCCGCAGACAAACCCGCCGACGCACCCGCCAACGAGCGCGCTAGCGAGCCCGCCGACGAGCTCGCCAACAAACCCGCCGATGGATCCGCCAGCGAGCGCGCTAGCGAGCCTGCCGACGAATTCGCCAACGGACCCGACAGGGAGCGCGCCAACGAGCCCGCTGACGAACCCGCCATCGAGCACCCCGTCTGAACCTGCACTATGCGACCATCGCGTCCCGTCCCACCCCGTCCCTTCCCCACCCCGTCCCTCCCTCGTCGCCCCCCTCTACCGCACCTACCTCTGTGGTGCTGGGCCGTGGTGGGTGTGGTGAATAGAGGGGGGCAGCGAGAATGGAGGTGGCGGCCAGTGGTGGGGGGGGGGCAGCGGGATTGGTGGTGGCAGTGGCGGGGTGGCGACTCAGGGGGGAGGCTATGGGGGGGGTGTGAGGGGATGGCAGACGTATCGCTGCAGCACCTCCCGCCACTGCACCTCCTTTGCTCTCTCTCTGCTGCTACTGCTGCTGCTGCGGGGGGGAGGTTTAGGGGGTGTGGGTGGTGTGATCCAGGTGCAGCAGCTTCCCCCTCTCTCTCACTCTCGCATCTGCTGCTGTGGGGGAGGATGAAGGGGTGTGGGAGTGGAACTGCAGCGCCATCCGCCGCCACTGCACCTCCTCCTCTCAGCCGCGACTGCTGTTGTTCAGTGGGAGGCTTTGGGGGGTGTGAGGGGGTGGCAGGCGTATACTGCAGCGCCATCCGCCGCCACACCTCCTCCTCTCTCACTCTCTCTGCCGCTGCTGCTGGTGTGGGGGGGAGGTTCAGGGAGTGTGGATGGTGTGAGTCCAGCTGCAGCATCAGCTGCCTCCTCCTCCTCTCATCGCTGGCCGTGTGCCTCCCGCGTCTCCCGTTCCGTTCGTGCTCATTCCTCCTCGTTCGCACCCCGCACCCTGTACGCACCCTGGCTCAGCCCATACTCGACCCGTGTTGCCGCCCGTGCTCTTCCCATGCCCGTGCTTGCTGCCCGTGTCTCCCGTGTCTCCCGTGCCGCCCGTTCCCGTGCTTCCCGTGATGCCCGTGCTGTCCGTGTCATACCCGTGCCTCTCGTGCTGCCCGTGTCCTACGTGCCGCCCGTTCTCGTGCTTCCCGTGATGCCCGTGTCCTACCCGTGCCTCCCGTGCTGCCCGTTCCCGTGTCTCCCGTGTCACCTGTTCCCGTGCTTCCCGTGCTTCCCGTTCCCGTGCTACCCGTGCTGCTTGTTCCGATGTCTCCTGTGCCGCCCGTTCTCGTGCTTCCCGTGCTGCCCGTGTTCTCCGTGTCCTACCTGTGCCTCCTGTGCTGCCCGTGTCATACCCGTGCTTCCCGTGCCACCCGTTCTAGTGCTTCCCATGCTGCCCGTGTCCTACACGTGCCTCCCGTGCTGCCAGTTCTCGTGTCTCCCGTGCCGCCCATTGCATGCTCCATACCTCTGTGACATGTTGCTAGCCCCTGAGGGAGACCCTGACGCTCCAAACATCCCGACTCCTCGTACTTACACTGAGGCAGTGTTGGGACAGTGGTCCTCTCAATGGATAGCAGCCATGGACTTACAGATGGCGTCTTGGAGATCCACAGGTACGTACGTCGATGCAGTTCCCCCTCCCCAGGCAAACGTAGTCGATGGCATGTGGATCTTCAAGGTGAAGTGGCCGCCTGGATCGCCGCTTGTCTTCAAGGCGAGCTATGTGGCTAGATGCTTCAGTCAGCGTGAGGGAGTAGACTCTTCCAGACGTTCTCCCCCACTTCGAAGACAACAACTCTCTGGGTGCTACTACACGTCGCAGCACAGCGAGACTACGAGCTGCACTAACTATACTTCTCCACTGCCTTTGTCCAGAGCAGCCTCCACGAGGAGACCTGGTTGTGTCGTCCTCCTGGCTTCACTGGCACTTTCCCTCCTAGGACACAGTAGAGCCTGAGAAAACCAGTCTACAGTCTCCGACAGGCGCCTCGTGAGTGACACGACACTCTCCGCTCCACTCTTGCTGACCTCCGACCCCGTCCTTCGTCCACCAACCCTTCACTCTGTGTCTTTATGGACCCACTCTTTTCTTCGTCCTCGTCTACGTCGACGACCTGGTCTTCGCTACCGCAGGCAGGGCTACGCTGGCTTCAGTGCAGTCCGAACTGCAGAAGAGACGCACGTGCACTGACCTTGGTGAATTGCGCAACTACCTTGGCTTGCAGATCACCATGGACAGAGCCGCTCGCACAATCACTCTGACTCAGTGATACATTGTGCAGCAGGTCCTTCAGCGGTTCGAGCTTCGGTTTTCCACCACACCGCCCACTCTTCCTCCTGTTTACCGCAAACTCACTGCTGCTCTTCCCGACGAGCCTGTTGAGCCTAGTGGTCACTATGCAGAGCTTGTGGGTTGCCTCATATACCTGATCATGTGTAGTCATCCAGGCCTCGATTATCCTCTCAGCGTCTTGACTCGCTTTGTTGCGACTGGGAGACACCGTCTTGTTGTTTCAGCTTGGGCTCTGGAGCTGTGTCGTGGAGTTCTTCTGTGGCACAGTCTAGTCCTGAGGCCGAGATCTACCGTACGATGGTGCCATGGCTGCTCAGGAGCTCCGTTGGCTGAATTTCTTGCTCACTGACCTAGGTGAGCGGCCTAGCTCTGGACCGACTTTGTTTGCTGTCAACAAGGCTATGATCCTCCTTTGTCGAGAGCCTCGAGTGGAGAGCAGAGTGAAGCACATCAGCCTGCGGCACTTCCTGCTGTGAGAGCTGCAGCGACGCGGCCAGACGCGTTTAGTCTTTGTAGCCCCAGCGGCCAACAGTGTAGACATCTGTCAAAACATATTTGTATGTTCTTAGTTCTGCTAGGCTACAGTGAGGTGCTCAGTATAGGGTACAACCCCAGTTAGGGTTTCATACTTGTATCTCCCTGTTGCTAGTCATTCATCATTCCTGTCTTCCTATTTTAACAACATCTTCACCAAAGCCCTCCCGTCTGGTGACCACCACAAGTTCTGCTCACATCTTGGCCTTGTTCAGACAGACCCTCGTTTGTCGTAGGCTTGCCTCTTGTTTTTTGCTCTGCTTGTTCTGCTGTTTATATATATCTTTGTGAACACTTGAACTGGCCTTGTGGCCGTTTGTCTCAGAGGCTGGCTAGTCGTACTACCACCTGAGTTGATTGTCTTGCTTTGCTGTTGTTGTTAATTAGTCTTGTGACCACTTGTCTCTCTTGCTCGTTTTGATTCCATTCACTAGTCTATGTCAATGTTATAATTGTGTGTTAGCCTATAGTGAGGTACTTCCTAGAGAGTACATACAACCCTTTCAGGGCTGTCTACTTGTATCTTATTCCTTGCTAGTCAATCCATTTAGCTCAGCTCAGCTTCTATGGACAGAAAAGTATATATCTACATATATATTAAAAACAAAAACAAAAACAACAACCTGTATTCCTGCTTAACAATCAACGGCCTCAGCTCTGGACGGAAATTGCTACTTTCATCTTGCTGCCACAGTGCCCAGACACTCGACAGGCGAAGTACAGGACCTTGCCCTTTGCTGAAGCTGGCACTGTGAACCTGAAAGGGGGCCAAGCCGGGCAAGATAGGCAGTTGCAAGAGCTGTGAAGCGTGGAGCGAGATGGGGTGTTTCATATGCGTGGTTTTAGCCGAGAGCTCTTTCCCCTGGCCCAAAGTGGCAGGGGCGAAGGCTTGATTCGCAAGACATGTGCACGTTCATCGTAGGTAGGTGCCTGTAGTTATCAAGGAAGTCAACAAGAGTGAGCAAGAACCGCCGGTAAGCAGAGGCACAGGGGCAAGCGAGCAGGACACAAGCGCGGGACTTACTTGTACTTTCCGCCCAAGGTTGCAGGCGCCTTCTGGCTCGCAGCTTGGAAGTTGCAGCCAACGTTGCTCATCTGCCACACGTCGTGATATGCACCCCACTGGAACACTGCCATGCACGTAAGGGAGCAGAATTGGGACATGCTTTGAGTCGACTCAACAAACGTTGCTCATGAGCCACACGTCGTGGTACGCACCCCACTGGAACACGTTGCCATGCATGGCACACAGCGTGGATGCAGGATGGGATGTAAGGGATCACAGGATGCATGGGGCAGGATGCATGGGGCAGGATGCATGGGGCAGGATGCATGGGGCAGGATGCATGGGACAGGATGGATGGGACATAACGGGGGAGACGAAAGAGCAGCAACGGCCGTTTAGTCAAGGCGGTAAGTTTCGGGTCAAATAAATTGGGTGGAGACCGAGCAAAGAGCAAGGGGCATGCGAGTCAAGCACAGTGAATAAAAGCAGAACAGGGAGGACGACGCAATACGCGGGTCACCAGGAGTAAACTGGCGGCGCATGTGAGGGGCACGCACCGAGCACGTCGCCTGCTTTCACGGTGGGAGTGGGCTTCCAGGTGCTGACGCCGAGCGTCCACTGCTTTTTGCCGCCCACCACGATCTCGCGCGCCTGAATGAGTGGAACGGCAAGAATAGCAAATGGGGCATATGAATATGTTGGCAAGATTATTGAGCTGATGTGCGCGCATCATGTGTGTGCATGTGCAGCGTGGGGTACCATGGAACAGAAGAATGCACATCAGACGCAGTGGAAAGCACGAGGGGAACGCGAAGAGAGCAGCGCGCCGAGCATGAGAGGGAAGCGGGAGGAGGAGTGAAGCAGCATGAGCTTGGAAGGGGCGGCGTTGACCCCAGACGCACGTGCCGAGGACAAGCAGAACGGGAGGAGAGGTGAGGAGAGCACACGCAAGCGAGTACAAGGGGAATCAGGTGGGGGAGCTGAGAGGCGAGAGGCGAGGCGAGATGCGAGAAGCGAGAAAATTACCTCAGGGAGGAGGGTGTGATTTGCGGCTGAGGAGCACAGTGGAAGCGAGGCAGGGAGGAGGGTCCACCGGCGGACACGAGAGGCAGGGGTGTGGGGGGGCGGGAGAGGGGGGGGGGGGGGGGGGGGAGGGGGAAGGGTGAAGGGGAGGAGAGGGGGGAGAAACGGGGGTGACACGATGAATACAAGGATGCGAGTTAAGAAGGCTGGCGAATCGGCGAAAAGAAACAAGCGCATAGGAGCAGCAATGGAACAAAGGAGATGGAGCGGCGGGCGAATAGGAATAAGGAGCGAGGGAGTCGGGCGTACCCGGCACAAAATCCCTCGCCGAAGCAGGTCGCTGCATGGCGACGACGGACGGCGCGCAACGAGACGTTGAGGTGTTGCGGCTTGGTTGACGTTGAAGAAGCTCCTCCGAGTCGGCCGTACGACGAACGATGATGGCGAGGCGTCGAAGGGTTAAGCGCCGGAGCTATTCGACTTCAGGTCGAATTTGGGTCTTCTGAGCCGCGGTGCTCGATGGCGAAACGCGACGGCGGACGCTTAGCTAGGCTCGGGTAGGACGGAGAGGCGGAAGCAACTTGGCAGTGGGGTGTGAGGTGAAGGGCAGAGGCGTGGGCTTATGAAGGGAGGCGAGCGAGTTTAAATACTTCGTCATCATCACGGGAGGCTGAGCTGCTGTGATCTACGCGATGACTCATCGGTGTCGCGCGCTCTGGGAAGGGAAGAGATCAGCGTAGCGCAGATGGTCGCGGGTTGCGGAGCTGGCCGTCGGCAGTTTGCCAGCGGTCGTCCCAACGTCGGGGAAAAGGCTAGTGCGAAAAAAACAACGAAAAAGTAACTGCACCGTCACTTCGAGTCAGACAGACGTGCAAAAAGGCGCGGAGGCGGGGCTACCTCAAATATTTGCGGGCTGTTTCCCCCGCGGATTGGGTCAGGTACTGTACGCGCAGGGCCCGCTCAACCACAGACAGCATAATCTGGGGCACGCCCAGCGCAGGTGCGTATGGGGCGGAATGGGCCGGCAAGGCGGGTGAGCAACATCATGCGCATTTCGCTCAATCCGAACTCCACAACGACCACCTGGCCTAGCCCGATACCGACATCCTCGTGACGCGGATTCCTAACACCTAGGGGGCTCCTCCCCCTTCCTTTACCTCCTGACGCAGATTCCTTCAGGAAAGTGCTATGTTAGCAGAAGCTGCGTCAGGAGGGCCCTGTTCGACAGGCTAACACCGACGGCCGCGGAATCCTCGCTCTTTCGTTTTCACATTTTTTCCCACGGTCAGTCCGTAAAATGCGCGAATGGGGCTTTAATCCCCGCTAACCTGTTGGCAGAGTGTTAGCCTGTCGAACGCACCCGATAATTGACCCCTTCGCCCTCTCAGAAAGTACCGCGAGCCTTCCCGCACGGGCAAAGGTCTAGCCCTCGCCTAGCCTAACCCTCGCCCCCCAAAAGAGGGGTTTGCCAAAGGGCTCGCCAAGTGTTTGCAGTGGGAGGAACACCCACTCCGTGGACCCTAAAATAGGTCCTTGTGAACCCGTTAGGTTGGAAAAATTCTTCTATTAAAAAACAATCTTTCTTGAGAGGCGAGCGATTTGTGGAG